CGGACACTATAGTGCGGCTAATACCATAGGGCGGATTAAGGGTAGCTAGTCCCTATACCGTCGCCTACACACTCCTTTCTATAGTTAAAATCGTCGAAGTGTCGGTATTAAGCTCTAGTATATATAATCCTAGCGTGTCGGTTACGGTATCTTCTTAGGTGGCCGCTCCGTTATCTTATTAGTTAGAAGAATTATTAATTAAGAGTTCCTCCGAAGACTACGGCTCTACGTTTATAATCTAAAGATTCCTGCTTTAAGGATTAGGTATTACGCGTGGGGTTTAAAGTCCTATCGCGGGCAGTTCGGGTGCACTAGGTATATTTAGTAGTAGCGACGAAGCGTCTAATTTAGCCTCTACTACTCTTACCCCCGAGTTCGAACCCGTGGACTATACTTATTCTCTAAAAGGTACGCTATTAATTAATCTACCCGGAGGGTAGGCCTATAGAATAAAGTCGTTATCTTTATCTTCTTATATTTTATAAGCTATAAGCTAGTTCCTCGCCTTAGGCTCCGGGATCTATTCTGCTTCTTTAAGCTATAGTTTATAAAATAGCTGCTCGTTAAACTATATATTACGCGTTATAATAACCTTCTAAAGCTATAGAATCTATACTCGGTAAATATTATAGGTAACGTAATCTATAAGATACCTAATATATCCCTTTAGTTAAACCTTATATAGTTTTCTATTCCTCTTAGTCTCCCTATCCCTCGCTATTAGATAGGCGCGGTAGCCGTAGGTATAAATACCACTCTAATTAGGGCGTAGGTCGGCTATATACTCTTTTATTAGAATCGGCGTATTCTTTCTAAACTATAAGTCGAGGATTTCTACTAGGGATTTCTATCCGTGTCGTTATAAGGGACTTATATTATATAATAACGCTACCGTTCTAGTACTCTCTAGCTATTTATCTAGTGGAATTCCTGCTCCGTTAAGTATAGTATTAGACTTTATAATAATCAGTTAACGGGCTCTTTCACTACCTCCGTTCGGTTTATAGGTATAGGGCAGTATAATTTCTCTATCGATCTCTTAACTACTCGCCTATAGCTGGGTTATTAAATCCCCTACTAGATTAACGATTAAGGGCTCGTTATCACTACGTATCTTATAGATATATAATATAAACTGCCGGTTAACCTATCATTCGAACGCTTAAAGCGCGTTATAGACTATAACGCTATTTTTCGAAGCTAAAGGCGGTATATAGATCTAGCCGCTATATTTATCCTTTATTATAAGAAGATATCGTATACCGTTATAGCTCTTAGGTAGCTCTTAAAGATCCTAATAAATACGCTAAAACGGTTATAGGGAGCGGTATTCTAACGTGTGTCGAGACACGACTTAACGTGCCTAGGTTCGGGAGTATATCTTATAGTCTATCCGCTTAGTTCCCTTAATTAACACGTTTCTAGCGTTACGAACTAATACTTATAGAGCGCTTAGTCTAAGATAGCCTACTCTTAAGTGCTATAACTATTCTTTATCGACTTATGGATAAGGAGGGTCGCGGGAAGGTCGGTAATATCGGTAAGCTCTTATTAGTCGATCGATTACTATAACTAGTATATATTAATAGTCGTAATTAATCGGAATAATACTATATAGTATCGGTTAGAATAACGAATAAGAAGAAGAAGAAGATAAAATTAGCTTATACTAAAGGATAGTTATATTAAAGCGTCGAAGCAGCTTTAATAAGACTACGCTCTTCTCCGCTATTCTAAAGCGTAACGAGTAGTTATAACCCGAATACTAGATCCTAACCTTATATAATAGAGCTTCCGATATAATATTCGTGTAAAATCCCTCTATAATAACTATATTGTTAAGCTCTAAGTTAGCTTTCGGAGTACCTAAAGGTTTATTAAGGATTCCCTTAAGAAGCCGTTTACCTTTACTAATAATCGGAAAGTCGGTTATACTGGATTTAATAGATCCCTTTATAGGTATAAAGAAACCTAAAATAAGCAGGTCGATTAAGTTAATAAGGTGAGTTACGCCGTAATTATTAAGAAGAGTACTCTATAAGAGCGGGTAGGGGCTAGGTCGGAGCGCGGCGTACATCCTAAGGACCTCTTCTATAGTATAGATAAGGGCGGGATCCAGGATAGTTATAATAACCTTCCTAGGATACCCCTTTTTACCCTTATTATTACCGCTCTCTAAGTTTTTTTATCCCTTTTTCGATAGTTTTTCGCGTAAGCTTTTCCACTTTAGGAGCTTAATCTCCTTCCGTATCTCCTCACACCACTTAGTATTAATATAGGTATTAGATCTCTGCTTATATTTTCTGGTTAAAGCGTACTCTAGCGTATTATAGTACTCTAGCTTCTAAATATATTCGCGTCGATAGGGGTAATTAGTGCTCTTTTTCTTAGGCTTCTTTCCGCCTTTATTATTATCTAAGTAGTCTCCTAGGGTTATATAAACGCTGTAGCGCGTACCGTCTATAATTAAAACGCTTATAATAGCGTTAAAATCGTGGCCGTATATTAGAAGATCGGAAATCTTATCGCCGCGGACCTCTTTTATTACTAGCTCTTAGAGCTTGGTTTCTGCCTAAATAGGCGTAAACTTTTATCTAACTACTATAAGGAAGTTCCGAATAATAATAGGTCCTTTAATCTTAGTTACCTTTTACTAACGTGCGCGTCTAATAAGGGTATTCTACTCTATATACTATATAGCTACTTTAGTATTAGCTTAATAAGCGTTTTATAGATACTTTTCGTATACTCGTCTTACCTCTTCCTTCGTGTAAATACTACTTAGAGCGAAGCTACTCTTAAGTTCTTTTATTATATAGCGTAATATAAAGTGTCTATTTTATTTTTTCTCTTTATAGCCGGGATATTTTTTAATAGCCTTTTCGATAGCCTATTAATAGGTAAAGGTCTCTATAATAGTTTTAAGCAGTTAATTAGCTTTATTAAGCGTCTTAATAAGGCGACCGAGCTTTTAATTCTAGGCTATAGTCTGCTAATTCTTAATTTCGGCGAGGCGTATAAGCTCCTATATTAAGGGTATAATAGTATTATCGCCCTCGCCTTAGGAATACTATCCGCGTAGTTAATCCAGGGATTTAGGTATAATATACTTAGAACGGTTATTTAGCTAATTCTTTTAGCTAGGATTAAGTAGTACCTAAACCTTTATCCCTTACGTATACGGCTAGATATAGAAGATCTAATCGGCCTATTACCGCGTAGATTTAAGGCGCGGGATACTAAGCGCTTTAGCCGTGATCTTAAGCTTATTCGATATAGTATTAAGTAAGGGTTTAACGTATAAAAGCTCATGATTAGGAGAGAGAGCGTAGGAGGGCTCCGTAATACTATAAAAGTATATAAAAATAAACGTAGATAATAGATTAGTAGGAAGTTACTAGTTACTACTACTACCCGGGCTTATAACTATTAAATTAACGGGAGTATGCTTATAGGGAGTATTAATTCAGGAAATATATAATTATATTATCTATAAAAGAGAAAGAAAAAGGGGGCGGGTATATATGTCCTAAATATACCTGCCACCTTCTAAGCGAGGATAGTAGGGCACCTCTAACCAATAGGAGAGCACTATACCACAGCTCACGTGATAGAATATGACACAACTCCCATCGTGGTTGGATCGTTTACGATGGTTTACACTCCATCCTCTTCCGTCTGCTGCCGAGGAGACGGGCGGCTGTTTGCAGCCGGGAAAAATCAAAAAGCCCGGGGAACGATTCTGACCATGCATAGCCCTCATGGAAGCCCCGATTCTCGCGCACCATCATCTTTGGGGCTCTCCGCAACGCCGTATTATTTGTTGTGTTACAGGTTGGGGAAGCCTTCCACCACCTACCCCCAAGGACATGGATCCGACATCGTAGTTTTTGATCCAGCAACTTTTGCGGTGTCTTAGCCACGTGCATGCATGATGCAGATCAGCGCGTGGGACCGTGACACCCGAGTGTGGTCGACAATGTTGACGAGATCTTCCACCGCTTCCCCTCCCTGATCCTCGGGGATTCCCCTAGCTAAGAATACCTGAGCATTCTTGTTGCGTCGTAAATCGGCCAGCTGCGGCTGCCGGAGAAAGGTCCCGTCCCTCCCCGAGGTTCCTTGAGATGCTGGCTGCCTATGTTCTTCAAGGGCCATCGAGTCAACCGTACTACTGATATTAGTCCCTTCGGCCACTTCTTTCTTCAGCGTCCCTCGGCCATGATTTGTGGGGTCTGGGCCTGCCAAAACGCCGTGCTTATTCTTCTCGGTCAGGAAGATATAGGTACCTAGGATGGTCTGGATATGACGGGCTCATATACCAAGGTAGGTGAGTAGTTTGGCGAAAAAGTGGTGAGAACTAAGGACTTCGCATGCCCTGCAGCTGCCCACCATGGACCGATGCCTCGTTGCCTCTAGCCTAAGGTAGCTTTCCTTCTCGACCCCTCCGCCTTTAAGGCTGGGCATGCGACACATACGAGTTTATGTACCCTACCCGTCTGTCTTTACTCGGTAAGGTAGGTTAACTTGAGGTAGGTAAGCTGGGAGGTACATCTGTATGATGCGTCCTGCAAATTATACAGGTCAGGCAGGTAGCGTCCAAAATGCCTTCCCTCTCTTACTTCGACCACTTACCTACCTGATACCTGCCAGTGCCGATGGTGGTGCCCTAACCTCCGCTTCTGCTTCCTCTTTCTCCAACTTCTCCTGCCAGTTCCGTCCCCGTCTCCTGGCAATCGTTGACATTTCTTCTTCGACGCAACCCCACCCGAGGAGTCTCAGACTCCCCCCCTGAACCTGCGCACCCGCCAGATCAAGGAGAATAACTAGCCCCTTTCATTCCTGTGGGCTACCCTCGTGGGCTACCTTCTTGAAAGGAACTGTGTCCAGATCGACGGAACCAAAAAGGGTAGGCTCCTGATGCAAGTGCAAGACACTCTGGGCGCAACTGTGTGTTTATTCAGCACTCCGACGATCAACAAACTACCACATACCTTACCTACATATAGACCCAACCAAGAAGGATCTCGCGGGTGAACAACCATGTCTCCCCAAGCACTGCCGAATCTCTCCCGTCATACCGATGTCAGCAGGAATTTTGCCAGCTTCATTTCCTGTCGAGCAACGGACGATGGCGTCTATTCTATTCAGGAAGTGCCTTTCGGTACTCCTAGGTATCTCCGCATCATTACCATTGGTGCCGGGGCAAGCGGCCTCAACATGATCCGCACGCTTCGCAACACGCTCCCAACCTCGTCCTTCGAGCATGTTGTGTACGAGAAGAATGCCGAAGTCGGAGGCACCTGGTTTGAGAATCGCTATCCTGGGTGCAAATGCGACGTGCCGTCTCATAACTATCAGTTCTCCTGGCGCAAGAACCCCGAATGGTCTTCCTTCTTTGCCCCAGCTGCCGAGATTGAGGCTTATCTTTGCAAGCTCTGCGACGACGAATGCATGCGCCCCTCCATCAAACTGTCACACACAATCGTGGGCGCTCGGTGGTCGGAGGCCACATCCCGGTGGCAACTGAAGGTTCACGATCATGAGATGGACGTAGTCTTCAACGATCACGCCGATTTTCTCATAGACGCCACCGGTATCCTCAAGTGAGTTGGTCCGTCCCACTACATGTTCAGCAAATACGAGCAACAAAAGGGGGGAGACGAAACAAGAGAGCCAGGCCACTCGCCCTCGCAGATACATATGGCTGATACGGCGTGTTCTGTAAACAGCAAATGGAAATGGCCCGACATCCCTGGAGTCGAGGATTTCGAGGGCACCTTGATTCACACTGCGGCCTGGCCCAGTAGCTTCAGTTACAAAGACAAGACTGTGGCCGTCATCGGAAATGGAGCCTCTGGGGTCCAAGTCCTCCCAGCCATCAGGCCTCGTGCGTCTCCCAGACAACCTCGTACGGCATTTTTCATGTCATACAGGCAAGGCTAACCGCTTCACCCAGATGTCAGGAGACTCTACCACCATATACGTGCTCCGACGGCCATCATCCCTCCTCGAGTAGCCACCATAAGAACGGGGCCCTCGGCACATATTATTGACGGAATCGAGCTCGACGAGAACGAAAAGTTCACACAGGCTCAAATAAAACGGTTCATATCTGACCCTGTCTTCTATGAACAGTTCTCGCGGTCCCTTGAACCTGACTCCAATGGAAAGTTCTTCATAAGCCTCCTGAAAGACAGCCCCCAGCAGAAATGGGCGGCGAGTAAGGTTCGAGAGTTCATGACGACCATGCTGAAGGGCGACCCGGTCCTCTGCAAGGCCATGATTCCCGACTTCCCCCTTGGCTGTCGCCGTCTGACCCCCGCGCCAGGCTACCTCGAGTCGTTCCACGACCCAAAAGTCTCACTGGTAACAACGCCAATCACGAGGGCTGTCCCCAACGGCATCGAGCTTGCCGACGGCAATATTATTGAGGTTGAAGCCATCATCTGCGCCACTGGTTTCGACTCGTCTTTCAGGCCTGCCTTCCCCCTCGTGGGCAGGAACGGTAACCTGCAGGATATCTGGGCTCAGGAGACGCCCAAGTCGTACATGTCTCTAGCCATCGCCGGTCTGCCCAACTATTTCAGTGAGTTTAGAGTGCCCCATATGATACTCGAAGACGCATCTCATTTCCCGCGCCTTTCCTTCCCAGAATTTCTCGGCCCTGGCGCCCCTATAGCCCATGGAGATGTCTTTACACTCTCCGAGCATATTGCAACGTATATTGCCAACGTCATTCTCAAGGCTCAGACCGAGGGGATACGCTCCATCGTGCCGGCCCAGGCAGCCGTTGATGATTATGCCGCCCACGTCGCGGCTTTTATGCCCCGCACCGCCTTCTCAGGGGCTTGCCGTAGCTGGTATAAGCAAGGCACCCTTGGTTCGAAGGCCCCGGTCATCGGACTTCACCCTGGCAGCCGGATGCACTTCATTACCATGCTCTGGAGGTTTCGCGGTGAAGACTGGGAGTACACTCGAGTCGGCGAGGAGCAGGGTATCAGGGGCAAGGCGAACAGATTCGCCTACTTGGGGAATGGATTCACAGCGGAGGAGATGGAGATGCTCACATTGGCCACAGCTGCCAACTGAGCCGGATGTGTAAGGCTTGAAAGGAGAGTCGAAATAAAAAGGTACCCATAGATTGGGGGCGTATTTGCCAATGGTCAATGCACAGGGGCGATGCGATTTGCAGGCGCTGCATTGGGTTGGACATCGTCGCTTCGAAATAGACCCGAGATGGCAAGAAGGGACACTGGGCTTGAAGGTTTCAAAAGCCCATCGATAACCCACTCCACGGAGCAAGGTATGAGGACTAGACTGGCCAACCAAGCAAGCGATATTAACGATGGATGTTATATCATTAGCTTGTTAAGAGGAATATGGACGAGGTTCTCCCGCTTGCTTCGAGAAATCCCTTCTCCGACGCACCCTACCCTCTGTCACAGGCTTATTTATGTTATGCCTTTTTTTCCGGGACCCTGGCCTGGAGCTTGTCCATCAGCTTGACCTTTATCCGCCCCTGTCCACGCCTCGGCGACTGTCGCCACAAACCACTGACAGAAAAGCAAAATGAAATGCTGAAGATTGAAATAGAAAGCCATTAATAGTGATAATGAAAAGCAACGATGACGAAGCCACGAAACAACAGCCAACGCCCCCCCATGGCGCCTTCACCGTCGCAGGCTTTATGGAGCGGCCGCTCAGCTAGGGGTACCCTCGCGACTCTTGCTCTCTCGCTTGCTGAGGAAGCCGCGTCGGATGGATGACTTGGGACTGTCATGGATGGAAGAGCTTTCACCGGACGGGGAAAAGGTGCTCCTCACGACGACGGTGCCACTGCCGACCTTTACCTCTGTGTCGGCGGCCGCACCCGTCTCATCCACGACGTACAGGCCTTCGCCAAATTCCTCGTCGCTGCGGAATGTCTTGTCCCCTCTGACCACGATCTTGAACTGCGTATCTGGTGTGCAGACCCACTTGAACGTTTCGTTGAAAGTTACGGCTCCACTCGGGTCCTTGTGATGAGCCGTCTTCCCAATGGTTTTTACCTTGGGCGTCAGTTGGCTAAGGACGACATACAGTTGAGAAGACGGCGGGTATCCAGACGCCGAAACGACTGTAAGGGTAGCAAGGCCGGATCCGGGGCTCGGAGGATTGGTGCTGTAGACTGATGATGCGCCGATGCTCCTGCTCCTGTTGTGGCCAATATGGCCAAGAGTTGCGGCGCCGTTCGTGGCGCCGGGGTTGGCCGTGGTTGGCCGCGTACTGACTGGGCTTTCGTCCCCATCTGGGATGGGGCCCAGGGTGCTGGAGTGCTTGAGCTCATGTCCATTCTCTGTGATTGTGGGAGTGTCGTAACTCGTAGTCGTCCCGTCATCGTCCTTCTTGTCCCTAGAAAAGATGTTGCGGACAATTCCACCGACGCCCGAGCCGACCACGCCTACAGCCTTGACCGGGGCGCCAGCCACTCCGGTCACGATACGGCCGGGAACCGCGAAAGTACCCGAGAAGGTCGAGGTTCCCTGACGCGTGCGAGCAACATACGCGGGTCGGAAGAGCATTCTCAAGCGGATGGAGCCCGATTTCCCATCCAACGTCAACCTCGTCTCGCTGGGCTTGAAGGGATCCAGTTGCTCGAGGTTAATGTCTGCACCACCAAGAAAGTCCGGTTTGTCGGCAAAGTCATAATCCCAAACGACCACCTTGAAATTGGCAGCAGTACGCGAAGGTATTGGAATTTCGAAGAACTCGTTCCACACGGGATGGAGAGTCTTCTTCTGCACCTTCGTCTTGTACACTTCTTCGCCGTTGAGTTCAAACTTGCAATACGGGTCACTCTTGCCGTTGCGGTCCGCCGAGGGAAGATTCTCGGCGTCCAGCACGTCAAGTCGGAGATTGCCCATATTGTTGATGCTTTCGCTTGGATCCAGCTTCATCTTCAAGGGGATATACTTCAGGCTGATCTTGACACAGCAGGGCCGGCCGTCCCTGTCCCTGAGTTTCAGAGTCGTGGGGTTGTTCTATATAATAAAATAATAATAATAAAAAAGGTCGAGAGCGGTCAGAAACAGTTGGTCAATTCCGGAGTCCTCTGGGGCGGGCCAACTTACCAAGCATTGCTTCAAGGTATCGAGGGTGTTTCCTTGCAGTTTGGCAATGGTATTCTCCTTATCCTTCTCACGTCCCTCAACTGCGTGGCCCTTCTCCCGAACCTTGAGCGTAAGGCGAGAAAAGTCAATTTCACGAATGACACAGTCTCCTATCTCGTCAAATTTGTGCTTTCTATGTTTGGCGGCGGAGGATGTGTAGGACGGGAAAGCCATGTCGTCGACCCACACTTCGATCTGGGTGTTGGATTCGGGCATTTCGGCTTCCATCAGTTTGAAGATGAGTAGCCCACTCTCGTACTTGAGCAGTTGTTCAGGGAACAGGTGCACCTTGGGCGGACTGGGCAGATCATTGGGGGGCTTGCCCACCGTGGGTGTTATGGGTGACTTCGGCGATGTCGGTTCAGCCTCCGACTGGGGCTTATCAAGGGTAGCGTTGAATTTCCCAGCAGCGGCAGAACGTGCAACGGGCGATTCACTAGTCTCCTCAGCGGCATTGTTCTCGTCTTGTTTTTCTTCGTCTTCCTCTTCTTCGGGGTCGGCAACGTTCAGACACGGGTAGAAGGCAGCGTTGTAAATGAGGATGCCCTTGGCAATGCCCTTGCCGTGGAGTCGAAGACCGGCTTCTCTGTAGTCTTTCTTGTCATGAACCAGATACTCTCCGTTTTCGTCCTGTGAGACGAAGTCTCCGGTAGCAATTTGCACATGACCTAAACTGCGGTCTTTGCCCAGCTTTTCGGCGTCCATGACGTCGAGAATGAGTTTTTCCCGATTAGAATGAACGGGTACGTATAAGACCTCATCCCAGTCCGGGTCGAGGGTGTTCAAATGGGTTACAGTGCGTGCCTTCTCCAGACCCGAAAGCAGAACGCGGACATAGGGGTCAGATTTGCCCAGCGCTTCGAAGTTACGCAGATCACGAGCGCCCTTGAAGTGGAAGCGCATGACGCCAACGGGGGTGATGTAACCACCAGTCCCAGAAAGAACCCCAGAGATTGCAACGGGCTTCCACTGGGCCTTCATCTTGACCCGTCCTGTAGGCACCCCGGAGAGCTGGAACCACTCTTGTCCATTCTCCGTATATTCAAGGATGTCTTCGAGCTTGATCTGATACTTTCCAACCACCTGGTCGCCAGCAAGGTCGCGATCATCCTTGATGGTAACACCCAGTTTAGCGTTCTTCCTGTCCGTGATGAGCATCTCTTTGGACCCATCTTCCCAAATGGGGTTGTTGGTCCGCTTCAGCTTCTTCGTGTGATGCACATCCCGCCCGTTTAGATGAAGAATCGCATAAGGATTGAGTTGGCCGATGAGACTCTTCGAGTAGTCGAGGTCCTTCGCCCGTTCGACAGTGAACCGGAGAATACCGGTGTTCGACTCGGGGGGCGGCTCTTCCGTCCCGTCTTCCAACTTGGTCGGCCCCAACACAGGGAAAAAGCGAATGTCGGCGGAAACCATGCCACGTCCCTTTCCGTCGGCGATAACCTCCAGCTGTTCGTTCTCATAGACATTGAGCTCTTCTATGCGCTCCAGGGGGAAGGAAGCCATCCCCAGTTCCTTGTGTTTCCTGAAATCATTGTAGTCAAAGACTTGGATGTCGAGGGTATCGTTGTAGGAGGTAACGATGATGTAGTGCGTCTCGTTCCACCGGGGACTTGAGGTATCCCGGATATGCTTTGTTCGAGCCAACTCCTGTCTCTTGTTGAGGCTGATGACGGCATAAGGGTCTGTTTCGCCAGAGAATCTGTCGGAGTTTTTCAGGCCTCGGGCTCCGTGAAGAGTGACGGCAACCACGCCGATGGCCTGGTCTACCGGGGTGCCGGCCAGCATCTTTGCTACTTCGATGGGGAAGACATTGGGCGCGTACATCATGGGCTCCAAGTTGCCGTGGATCTGCTCCAGGATGAAACTCTCCAGTCCGGGGATGAAGTTGATATCAAAACCGAACTTCTCCCCACCCAGGGGCTTGCACACGTAGTCGATGGTTGGGCGCTCCAGGAAACACATCTCGATCTTCTCAACGTGGGGGAAGGGCACCTGTAGCTTAACCTTGAGGCGCATCAGGCCAGAGAATGCCATGTTCTCCACAATAACGTCGAGGCCTTTGCTGATCATGGCCTTGCCGACGCGGATTTCCAGGACGACCTTGGGATTGATCTTGTTTCTCATCTGCCTAGCTGTCATGTCGGCCGTATCGTTGGGGGTGAAGCTAAATTTCCAGTCCATGATAACGATGTCATCCTCAGCTTTGGGGTAGGTCTTGACGTGTTCCATTCGAGGAGGTTTGGAGCCGAGAGTGAAGGTCTTCAGCTTGAGGCTATCGAGAAACGCTGGCGTCGCGGAGCTCAAAACCTGGTCGACCACGTTGATGATGGTCTGGGCCAGGACGGGCTGGTAGATGGGCCAGAATTTCACTAGAAAGGAGTTTATCCATTCCAGCGACTCTTGATCCGTCTCCAGCTTCTTCAATGAGAGCTCGCGATTGATGTCGTCCCGGAAGTTGCGGCGAACACGCCGTATGGAAGTTCGATAGTAGGTGGAGCAGACGGCCATGAGGATGAAGACCCAACCCAAACCTCCTCCCAAGACAGCGACCAGCCAGGACGATATGCAAGCAAAGACGATGATTGCGGCGTTGTGATACCAGTCGCCATAAAAGGCGTCGGGAATGTTACTTTCGAGCCAGGTAGAATGGTCCAAGAGACTCTCGGTCGACACCTCGACGGGCCAGCCGAGGCGTGGGGCCCATCCAGTGCGCTCGAAGGGCTTCTCGCCGTCCGAGGCGCCGTCATCGTCCACAACGTTACCCTCCTCGTCTCTTTTTAGTTCGATAGCGCCCTCCGTGGTTGGTGGGGGCAAATCAGCTGTCGGGGCCTTGTCGTCACCGACATCGGTCACGATAGAGACGCCATGAGGTCGTTTACTGGAGAACCCCTCGGGGATGGCCTAAAAGAAAGCGAGAACTCGCGGGTCAGCGGCGGGGCGGGCGCATTCACTCGCTGGGAAGCAGCTCAGAGAGACCAGACTCACAGCTCTGGCCTGGCGCTTCTTTTCTTCCGGGCTCGCATCAGGGTCGAATGTGAAAGCCGTGATACCGGCCTTCCTGGACTCCTCGAGGATTTTCCGCTCGGCATCCTCGGCGGTGGTGCTAGTTTCAGGGTTTTGGGCCGACTCGACGACGCCCTCAATCTTGAGCTCGCTCTTTTCCGTAGCCGTAGACATGTTCGTCGAAAACATCAGTCGACTAGGTGAGCGTTCCTCAACAAGGAGCACTACTGGTAGGTGTCAATTGGGCGACGGACGGGTCTAACGTGCAGTTACGTAGTGAGGCATGCGAACCGGGTCTGGTCGTACCAGACTAAGACAGAGGCACTTCGAATAGGAAGCTAGGAGTGCCAGGTGTCGATTGCCAAGGTAGGCGAGATGTGAGGGAATGTTGCCGGGCTGGTATTATGTCCAGGACGGATTAGGAAAAGGGTGGAAAACACAGGAAGGGCAAAGGCTAAGGGAGAAAAGAAAGGAAATGGAAAGAAGGAACGCAACGAGGATCGACTGGGGTATGAACTGGTCCGAGGTTGAAGAAGAATCCGAGCGAAGGAAGTAAAGAACAATAATTACAGTGAGGTCAGCGTGGCTAGTGAAGCTAAGGAGAAGGCGAGCGAGAGAAAGTGGGATAGATAGAGCTTAGAGCCTAAATTAGAGGGAACGCAGTAGGCAGGAGGGTAATCCCGATCAAGAGCCTTCAAGCTTCGAGACCGGCGTTGATGTTGGCGTTCGCGTTAGCGTTAGCGGCGGAGGAGGAGGGTGGGTGCGATGGTGATGGTGGTGATGGTGGTGATGGTGGTGATGGTGGTGATGGTGGTGATGGTGGTGATGGTGGTGATGGTGGTGATGGTGGTGATGGTGGTGGTGGCGGCCGTGACGAACGACCTAGCTGATTCTTGCTGATCTGGCCGACGAGAAGACGGAAGCTAATGAGAAAAGCCAGCTCAGCCGGTTAGGGATAAGAATGCTTTGGCATCGTGCCAGGGAAAGGCCAAATAATTACCTGCCAAACAAGATCCCAATTGCCCGTAGGTACCTAGGGTAGCACCAAATTGCCTGGGTGGTTTGGCAGTGGACCTGGATTGACGATGAAAATGCCACTAGTGTACGTGTAGCGGAGAAAGACCTGGGAGAGGAAAGGATTACGTGTACAGTACGCCCTTGTGGGTACGGTTACCTACCTTAGAGCTTTTGAGTGGGCCCTCGTTGAACCGATGACGACTACAGCACCGACCAGATAGCGCTGGTGAAATGGGGGAGGTCGGTCGTGTATCCGAGGGAGTATGTACAGACACTTCATTGGTGAAAGATACACCTCAGGTATCAAGAGGCGCGGCAGGTCTAACAACCAGCCCTCCTCAGATTACCTTATTAGGTACCTTACCTACCTAGACAGGGACCACTTCAGCTGGGACATCATCGCAGGAAACTCTTGAGCACATAATAAGGTACGTTGTAGGTGTACGGAGTAGATACCTATAAGGTACAACTCGGTAAACCCGCTTCACAGCTGGTTATGGGTAATAGGTACCAATCAGGGTCCCAAAGGACTCATCCGAGCTCAGCTGTGTGTTGCTTGGTATTATGGATACAACCAACGTATGTACACAAAGGGATAACTGGTCCAGGGGATTAGCGCCAGTACACTAGTGCGAGCCCATCCCATCCCTGCCACCCCAGCACAGCTGAGAGTAATTACTCCCAGTAGCAATTCTGAAAGGAGTCTTTTCTAGGGGTAACATCGCATCGTGCCGTACCCGCCCTCGCAGAATCCAATCTTGAATCATGCATCCCAATCCTTGGCCCTGTTTATTATACCGCTTCGTAAATACGGTTACAAAGTAGATGGAACGTCCAAAGGTTCGCTCAAAAGACTGGTGTTGGCACATAGGTTGTCTCGTGGAAATCAACACGCAAAACACCAACGAACAAACCACGAACCTTGCTGTCTGCATTCCTTCCCTCGGAGTCAGATCCGAGCAGATCCTCCTACCGATATACATTGTACAACGTAATACGGACAGGTAGGGTGCCAAGCCATTCCCAATCCTTGTCGCACATCTCGTCCGCCCGCAAAATCACACCCCGCCTTGACCCGACCAAACCGCTCGAGCCCATTTCAAAATGTCGTACCAGATCGGCTCCGAGACGTCTGACAGAAGAATTGTTTGTATCTGTGCCCGTATATCTATGTAACGACTCCTTAGCCTGGCGCAGTGGCAGCTCTAGACTCGATCCTGTTGTTGACAGTTTGAGCTGTTGCAGGTGCAATCACAGCTACCGACGACAACGCAGAGCTGCGCCTCCAGCCGTGGCGGAAGGTAGCTGTAATTAATATCCCGGTCCAGCCTAACTTCCCTTCCCAAGACAATGTCTTAGAGAGCGACGCCACATTTCGCCCCAGTTCATCCCCGTTGACCGATTCGGACAGGCTCTCAATCACTCCACGCCAGCCACCCTTCACATCTTATCTTTACGGTGAGTACGCTCTGTGTCCGACATTCGGATTGCAGGCACTATCCCTCCATACTGCGGCGGTATGTACGCCTACCTACCTACCTACCTACCTACTCCGGACCTACTTACTCGTGCTGGCCTTGGGGCGGGATGAATGCCACAACTTGAAGACCTCTCCACGACATACATAATGGGCATCGCGTCGCTGTGCGAAATACGAAAGTATTGTCTAAGTATACACTGATATTGTTCATGGATGCGGTCAAGTTATACAGAGCAATACTTACCAGTCTTATCTCACCCGCCTTGCCAAATCCCTTCGCGCAACGTGTTGTGTAACCCTTGTTTGTTTCCTTAGTGTCTCCTGTCTGTCTCACAAAGCACGGTACGATCTGGAAGGAGCAAGGTAATCAGGTCTTGCATCAGTTTGGCCTCATTAGGTACGCAAGAGGACCTCTGAGAATACACCGTACATGTAAGTATCTTAGGAATGCAGCCTCTGTATTCGTACACTGCAAATAGATATGAATGACGACTATATCTGTGTATCATCACTCCGCCAACTCGAACTGACAGGAAGTCGGCATTTCTCATACTCAACCGGCACGGGCCCATAGCACCAGCTAGGTGCCTGTACGTTGCAATGTTTGGATTTAGGGTTGAGCAGGAGTAAGGTCTGAACTGAAACACACACATCTACGTGTACTTGATAAGCTGGGAATAAATAAATAAAGCCAATTAACTGGTAGAAGTCCATCTCATCAAACATCTACTCGGTAAGACGCAATCTTTTCTTTCTAGCCAAGGAGAAATATATAGTCATTGCCGCTCCCAACGTCTACAAGCCACGCCAACACCATAAAGTTAAACATAGCGCCAACCTCCCAGCTAGAACAATCCAAGGGACATAAAGATGTTGTGAGATGATGCTCAACTTGGGCACGAGAAAGATAGAGATCGCTGTAAAACACCATAAGACCGAAGTGAAGTTACAGCGGTCTAGGATGGAGGGGGGAAACAGGCGGAGAACGAATAATCCCAGAAAAAAAATCGTATCGTTTCTTTCGTTGCCATTCCCATCAATATCCGAAACCGTCGTGTTGATGGACGGGGCAGCGCCCCGGGTTCTTGACGAACCAAGCCGAAATGCAAGCACGATGGAATCGGCATAGACACTCCAACCTGGCCATAGGCACACCTACTTCGAATTCCTCCAGGCAGATTGTACACTCGGCCGAGTCGACACAGTCCTTTTCGGTAGCCACGTAAGGGAACATACCCGTGCGACGATGAGCACGGGGAGGAGGAGTGCCGCCTGCGGCCTCCGCCATAACTGCCCCGCTACTAGAGCGGGTGCTGTGTGATGTAATGCAGTCGGTGATGTGAGCTTCGCGCAATGAGTCGAAGTCGGGCAAATCTCGAGACGGCAGTTCTCGATGACAGACGGGACATTCGTCCTCTTCGGGAATTTGAGGAGGGGGTGGTAGGGCACGGTTTCTTGCCGGGGACGAAGACGACGAAAGTCCAGAGTCGAGCATGGATCGGCGCCGTGAATGAGAACTGCCAGATCCAGGATAGACGGCAGATGACGAAGACGAGTAAGTGAACGGTGCCCCCCCATGAAAACGGCTCTGGGTAGACCCAACAGTGCCTCTAGACGGACCAGCAACTCCAGAACTAGAACCAGAATGCTGGGAACCGATTCGGGTTAGTTGGATGGAAGAGCAAGAAGTCTGGGCTTCGATTGCTGAAGGGCTTACCGTCACGCTTCTATTTCTAGCAGAATACATATCTTGAACAGAGCCAGCTGGAAAGTATTCCTGATATCGGCTGGAAGACGGCATGGAGCCGGGCCCCGCGACCGCGTTACTGTGGGACCTGTGATGTGTTCTCCGTGTGGATGCCTGATTTGGTGCCCGCTGGGGTCCTGGGGGCGAAGGGTTCGGATCTGGAACACACGGATTGCAAAGACGAACACGTTCACCACCGCCGAGGCTGCTGAGATCCGCATAACCGCCTTCTCCGGCGAGGAGGGAGAACGCGTATCTCTGGTCGGATACCCCAAGCTGGTCGGGAGGTCGAACGATAAACTGGTTCGGTATTGTGATTCTGTGCGGCGAACAACGGTTACACACTACACGTCCGCATTTTCTAGTGCAAGGTAGGTTAGATCGACAGTCTTTGACACATATCCAGGAGGTTGACAAACCTGCAATGATGCTTTCTAACAAAAAAGCTGAACTGCGTCCGACAGATCGGGCAGACGGTCACTTCGGCGTCAGGTTGCCATCGTGGCAGTACAAAGCTGGGGCCTCCTTCGCTACCCTCTGTCTGTTGACTCCTGTCCATTTGTGTCTGATTTTCCCGTCCGGCTGTTGGTCTCCAATCTGTCATAGTCGTGGGTGGAGACGGGGAGTCGCCTGTGAGATCAACCACCGGGGTCCTCAGGTTTGCAGCCCTCGACGTATGACTAGCCTGGAACACCTCCTGTAGCTGCCACGATATAGCTTCGATGCTTGCCTCTCGAGGCGACTCCTGGCGTCTCCTGGGTGTCTCAGTCAGGGATGTAGCGGGCATGCTAACACGATCAACAGGGGAAGATCCCTCCGATCCTGTAATAGCCGTATCCTGCGCCGTCCCGTCATGCTCGACTTCGTCACCTGGAGACAATCCCCCATGTCGTGGAGAAACTACTCCCGCAACCGCATGTGCAGGTTCAACCTCGTCGTCCGAGAGATGTCGCTCCACCAGGTGTGAAGGGCAGTCAAAGAATCGAGAGCACTCTTGGTCGTGGAACCGAGCTGTACGCCAACGACATACATCCAAAGAGATACTAGCAACGCTTTCTCCTTCAGACGAGCTCTCCGAGTCGGAAGAAAGCTCAATGTAATGCCGTTGATCGCCAAGAGCCTCCGTGCTTTGCCCAGCGCCTTCGCCGGGACTTGCCATATTATATCATCGGAGCCAGGGCGCGTCGGATCGTAGAGCCAAAAGAGAACGACTTTGATAGAACAGGATGCCACTTGAGCCTCGAAGCTAAAATATGAAGTCGTGTGATTCGACGGTTCGGCGACGGAAGGGAAGATTAAAGTATGGTCCAACCCTGTGACAAGCTGGCGGGGTTGTCAGTAGACTGGAACGTTCGCCACTGCAGGGTACAGACCTTGACGTAAAAAGCGACAGGCGACCGAACTCTGGAAGAAATTAGGTAGAGGATCCAGTTAATAAAGAAGATGATAAGGATGCGAAGAGAAGACGCTCAGAAAAGAAACTACCTTTATCTTCGGACCCCAAACTTCCAAGCGAGTTGGCAACGCTTATCGCCTGAATGTCCAAGTTGCGAGGGTCCTTATCGGTCATCGGAGGGGGGTGGTGGGTGTTGGGTGTTGGGTCTAAAACGTACCTAAGGTAGGTATTTACAACGTAGAAAATGGGACATACAGTACGTACTCGTACGGTTACCGTATTGCTATTGACATCACATGCCTCCTGGAACAAACGGTCCCACCAACATATACCCCCTTTATGTGGAAGGGAACCAGCACAACACTGTTAGAGAAAAAGATACATAAACAGCGTGCCCATCTGGATATCAAGTCCTAGGATACACTGGCTCTGCATAGAGGATAAGAGCTGGCGGGCTGTTGACACTACCGTCGACACCTTGAATTTTGTTGCGGAACCTGTCCCGTCAAAAAAGTATTACTTGCAAAATGCAACTCCCGTCCGTGGCTGGTCTTGCTCCCCTCCAGATTACACATCGAACTTCATGAGTCGAGTTTTGCGTAAGCGGAACAAGAATATGCGTTCCCCCGTCAATAAACAGTCGATCCGGTCCCCTCGCCTCTCGCCTCGCTCATGGGAGAACATTCTTCCTCGCGAGGGCGGTGGACGCGGGGTAATTAATAGGAAATCCTGCACACAGGAGTACTTCGTATAAAACGTACTCCGTACCTTACATCGGCTGGCAATAAATTTAGGGTGATGGTATGCGGACTGTAGGGTGACTGGAGATCTTCAAGCAAACGAAGATGAGCTTGACAATGGCTTCAACACTGGGCGGTAGGGGAGATTCAGCTTAACTTGCGGTGCGCACCTTAGTATCTACGTAAGGTAGTCACAGGATGCGAGCATCAACTAATGGCGCCAAGACGACGCTTGCGCTATAAGCAAGTAAGTCTATGGCCATTCCCAGAAGTCCCTCCCTGTTCTAAGGTCGGCGGCCATACTGTACAAGCAAGCCCAACTTCCTGAGGATATCTCAGATCACCTTCACGGCGGAAGTACCTATCTCGTCAAAGCAATATCATCTATCCTGAGAATCAACTTCACGGTCTCAGCCGCGAGCTCAATTGCACTCGTGCAAACGAGCAATGGCTGCAGCACGTTCTCCTTGGAAATGTTACTGTTGACTCCACCCGACTTGATGCTCACGCCGGCGTTCCTCTCGCCCATCTCGTGACGGTGCCGGAGCTCCGTGACGACCTTGATGCTGTTTAAGCCCGCGTTCTCCGCCAGAGTTGTCGGAATCACCTCCATGGCATCCGCGAACGCCTTCCAGCAAATGGCCTCGGTACCGGGCAGGCCCCGGGCCTGCTTCGCCAACTGCGTCGCAATCTCAATTTCGGGGGCACCGCCACCCGCAATGAGGGCCTTCTTCTTGACCAGGCAGCGGACGACACAGTGGGCATCGTGCAAACTGCGCTCGGCCTCGTCGAGAATCAGGGAGTTGGCTCCCCGCACAACAACAGATACCGTCTTTCCCGTCGCCTTCGCCCCCGACACCTTGACCATACGGGCACCCATCGAATGCACTTCTTCGATAAGATCGGCCGAGCCAAGTTTGTCCTCGGTGAAAGAGTCAATGTCGGCGATGGGTTTGCAGCCTGTGGACTTGCAGATGAACTCGACCTCATCTCGTTCAATGTCCTTGACGGCAAGAATACCGAGTTTCGCCAGGAAGTGCAGGGAGAGGTCGTTCACTGCGTCCCGGAGAATGGACTTCTGAATCAACAACACATTGCACTTGGCCTTCTTGATCTTCTTCACCATGTTGAGCAAGTAGAGACGCTCCTCCTTGACAATCTTGTCCATTTGCCTGTAGTCGTTCACGGAGATGGTGTTTTCCATCTGGGATTGGAGTCAGTGACTGCATGCTCGAGAGGGACCAGTAATGAACAGGTGCGGCGTTATTAGACTCACATCGGGCTTGGGCGGGCTCAGCTGGAACTGAATCAGACCGATCTTGGCCTTCTCAATACGCGCAGGGCCGCCAGCTCCCTTGAGTACGGGCTGCGTCAAGACCAGACCATCCACGAGCTCGCTGTCCTCGATGGTACCCCCGACCTTCTTGACTATCCTGATGTTCTTCAAATCCACGTTGTCTGCCGTCTTCATGTCGATAGTCTTAAGTACCGAGTTGACGGCCATGGGACCGAGGAGATTCGAGTACTGCGATACGATCTTGGAGGAAAGCGACGTGTTCGCCGCTTGCAGGAGAGCAGCGGTGTCGGTCAGGGAAATAGGTTGAGACATGTCGTGTAGAACGTCGACAGCCGCCGCAGCGGCCCGCTGGAATGACTCTGAGATAACCGAAGGGTGGATGCCCTTGGACAGTAATCTGTCTGCAGCACCCAGCAAGCTACCGCAAATTACCACCACAGACGTTGTGCCGTCACCAGCTTCGACATCTTGGGCAGCCGAGAGATTAACCAGCATCTTGGCCGTCGGGTGCATAACTGACATGCTCTTGAGCATCGTGTTGCCGTCGTTCGTGATGATGGTCTCGCCCTTCCCGCTTCGGATCATCTTGTCCATGCCACGGGGTCCAAGCGATGTTCTAATGGCATCAGCGACGGCTAGAAATCATTTGTCAGTGATTCACCGCAATAGATCCGACTCGAGATAATCGTTCTCACCTCTGGCGGCTACAATATTGGACGATCGGACGGTTGCGGGCTTGTCCTTGTCCTATCCGCCAGTCAACCTCAGCTTCCAATACGCGCTACACGGGCAGGAAGCTCAGGGTACGTACCTTGAAAGTGGCGTTGGAGGGGCCGCCTTGAGCGGCGGGCAATGCAGTTGTCGCCATCTTTCTTGTGCTCGGAATGTGCTTCTCCAGGGCTACTATTAGGTATAAAAAAATCCCGAAGAGATTGTCGAGGGGGAGCTTGAGAATGAAGCTTCAGTTGTGATTAGTGTGTCCCGCAGTGTGCCTGTTGGTTATTATCCCACTCCTGACGGTGAAGGTGGGATATTTTATTTGACGGCGGTTCAGTTGTTCCACGGCCGCAATGTAGTTATACGCTAACCCGATATGGACTAGCGACGATAGATTACCGTCTATGCCACTGCGCGTTTCTAACCTGTGGAGTGGAGTGACCTGGAAGCTCAAGGCAACTACCCAGATTACGGAACCGGCTTCATCACAGATATTAGCTGGTTCGACTTTCCGCCTCACCAACCGACCACCTGCGCCATTCCCAAAACGACATTTCCATCCTCCCCCAAAACGTCGCCTCCGAAGTTCTCTCAAGAACTACTTTGACCCCATTTATCATTTTTTTTCTCATTGTTTTCCACCAGACAAGCTGCTTGGTTTTGGGGCGCCCAAGTCCTGAGCTTTCGCGATGGTAAATTACCTGGCCCGAATGATGCCGTCGTAACAGATACTGACCGGACTAGCCTTCCGCCACCGGCCAAGATTGGGAGAAGTACCAGAAGAAATTTGCCGACGATGAAATAGAGGAGAAGAAGATCACACCTTTGACCGATGAGTATGGTTCCCCCACGATCAGGGCGGATTCGTCATTGGCTGTACTCTCGCCGCTGACCAGCTGTTGAACAGGGATATCCAGGTACTCAAGACCTATGGCGCCGCACCGTACGGCGCGGCCATCAAGAAGTTAGAACAGCAAATCAAGGAGAAACAAGCAAGCGTAGATGAGAAGATTGGAGTCAAGGTTGGACCGTCTAACATACCCCTCGGACATTCGGAGCTACACTAACGCCCACTCTCAAGGAATCCGATACTGGCCTGGCGCCGCCGCACCTGTGGGACGTCGCAGCCGATCGACAGCGAATGGCCGAGGAACAGCCACTGCAAGTGGCACGCTGCACCAAGATCATCCCGGACGAGAAGGACGATTCGAAGAGCAAATATGTCATCAACGTCAAGCAGATTGCGAAGTTTGTCGTACAACTCGGCGAGCGGGTGAGCCCTACCGACATTGAGGAGGGTATGCGCGTTGGTGTCGACCGGAACAAGTATCAAATCATGCTCCCTCTACCACCCAAGATCGATGCCAGCGTCACCATGATGACCGTCGAGGAAAAGCCCGACGTGACGTATGGTGACGTGGGTGGTTGCAAGGAGCAGGTTGAGAAGCTACGAGAAGTCGTCGAGATGCCTCTGCTGTCACCAGAACGCTTCGTCAATCTCGGTATCGACCCTCCAAAGGGAGCGCTGCTGTACGGACCACCAGGCACAGGCAAGACGCTCTGTGCCCGCGCGGTGGCTAATCGGACGGATGCCACTTTTATCCGAGTCATCGGCAGCGAGCTCGTTCAGAAATACGTCGGCGAAGGTGCAAGGATGGTCCGGGAACTGTTCGAGATGGCACGGACAAAGAAGGCCTGCATTATCTTCTTCGACGAAATCGATGCTGTTGGCGGAGCCCGTTTCGATGACGGTGCCGGTGGCGACAACGAGGTGCAGAGAACGATGTTGGAGTTGATTACACAGCTCGATGGCTTTGATGCGCGAGGTAACATTAAGGTTATGTTCGCCACCAACAGACCGTCGACGTTGGACCCGGCGCTGATGCGTCCGGGTCGTATCGACCGCAAGATCGAATTCTCCCTACCGGATCTCGAAGGACGTGCCAATATTCTGCGCATCCACGCCAAGAGCATGTCCGTCGAGCGGGACATTCGGTGGGAGCTCATCTCCCGTCTGTGCCCCAATGCCACGGGCGCCGAACTGCGCTCTGTCTGCACCGAAGCCGGCATGTTCGCCATTCGGGCCAGGAGGAAGGTCGCCACTGAGAAGGACTTCCTCAGCGCAGTGGATAAGGTGATCAAGGCCAACCTCAAGTTCAACTCGACGGCAAGCTACATGCAGTACAATTAAGCCAACATAGTAAACATTCAGCAACTTCGGGTCTCAAACTGGGCCATGGGGCGGATTTGGGATTGGGTTGTCTCGATAGGGTGTAACAGTAGACTGCATAGGATTGGCAAGGTCCTGGAGAGGCATAATAATCCCAGGTGAACTCTTATCATGCTTTCTATGATTCAATAGATAACTTTGCCTGCCTGGTTGAAAGTGAATACATTCCAGTGGACACGGTTCCATGTGCTCTGTTACCTGCCCGTCCAGGAGTATAGAAGAAGGAAAAGAATTGATCGTGAGGCGCCTCCTGTTGTGCAATGTACCGGCTTCAAGGTTCCATAACTCCAATCGCCTGCTTACTGCTAAACTCGCTGTCGAGCGCAACCTGCATGTGGTGGGAAGAACAGCTGAGATGCCAGATACATCAATATCTAAAGGTTTTTCATCCATGATAAAATAGGAGCGTGCAGCCGAACAACTGCTCTGTGGCATCTGCTGGTGTGCATGTCTTAGCGACAGGCAAGTGTCATCCTTGACCTACAATTCGCAGAATGCTCACATGCGCGAAAGGCAGCCAAAGCAGGCGATATCACCTTCTTTGCCTCTCTCAATGCAACATCGGCTACAGATGACTTGTCGATGCTCGCCAGAGGCCCACCAATTCGTTTTTTCCTGACCCTGGCCGTTCATTTTATGTGCTTGTTTTTCTCCACCACCATCGTCTTGCCCGCCTCTTTCCTTCTCTTGTCCCTCGGGTGGGTCATCGGCATCGTCCATATGAAAAGACCTGGACAGAACATCTTGATCTGACGTTTCCTGATCGGCTTCGTCTGTCTGGGTGGCTGACCTGCGTGGTGGTCCCAGATACTCGGTTGTCCATCCAGGGCACTGTCTGAGGCAAATAAAGCATGTTCTTGATTGACAGCCCTCGCAATCTGCATATGAATCAAGGTCCGACTTCTTGGTAGGCTTCCGGCGGCAAATATGGCAAGGTTCCAAAAGAGCGCCCGAGTTGACACGAGCGGGTGGTGGGCGGGTAGAAGTAGAAGGCGAGCGCACACTTTGTGGTGATCTTATGTGATTTGTCGATCGGCTGATATAGTCGTCGTGGCCTAGGTTGTGATGCGGCGTGTACGGGTTCTGATGTAATTGATGTAATTCCTCCATGACCCCTGCATGATCCGAAGTGCGTAGTTTCTTTGCTGAGGGAAGGGGTAAGGTCTTCCTCTGAACATTCCCGATAGCCGAAAAGGAGACATTATCATCGTTATGGGGGTGATATTGTGACAGCTTCGGGTAGCGGGGTGCTAGTTGGTGTGCTTGATCATGATGCTGTTCATGTGGTTGCCTGGACCAAGAGACCTCGTTTAGTATGCCAAGTTCTCATGTGCAAGGTCAGATACTTAATATGTTGAGAGCCTCGTACACTGAGTCTTGCAGAGTTCTTGCGTCATCGTCTTCTCGCCTCCGCTTCTTGCCTGCCGGGAACCGTCGTGGTTCCTCGGCCACCGATGGCATAGTAAGGCAGGATGCCCACGATGGGTTGGGCACGCAGTTTCCAATTATGCCCCAGTGAACTGCGGTAGCAGCACAAGGAGAAAGCAATGCCCAAAACCTCAAGAAAACAGATCGACTAGGAGATGGCAGAAATAAGGCGATCGTTGGTCGCTTTCAAGTTCAGCCAAAGGGTTCGGACATATTATGGTCAAGTGAAGTGCACGGAGGATGTCAGGTACGGAGTACAAAGTACTACATACAACTACGACCTAGTCGACTAGTCCCATAAATTCTAGTCGTCCCGAGATTTCCTGTTGGATGGGAAACGGGTGAGGTGGAGCAATGCACCCCGATTCGCTGGACGTCGCGATGGGTACTGCTGGGTACCTTACTGTAATTACCTTACCATAGGGAGGTCTCACCCAAGTTGAAAGGAACCCGAACTGGAAAGGTCGAGTTATGTCGAGGATCGATTTCTATCATAATGATGTTAATTACATATGTAGGTGTCAAGGGGATCAGGCCTATTCATACAGTATGTAAATTCACGTTCAAGCTCTTAGATATGACATTGGGCAGCCTTCGACGAAGCTTATAACATCTGTCCGTACCTTACCTTATCCAGGAGCAAGCCATGGACAACGGTTTAGCAATACAAAAATATGTACCCGTAACACAAGTGTGTAGCTTAAGCCTTCTGATACATGGAAGAACATTTCCTGCAAATAGAGACAGCACAGCACAATATCCTCACTGACTACAGAAGAAGGCTGGGTGAGGTATGGAAAACATTCATCTGATTTACACTCTATCACCGCTCTTTAGGAAGCCCCCAACGACAAACAATCATCTCATCCCCCACCCGCCCCGCCAGACAAAGGAGCTCGTTTTATAAGAGAGGCCTAGTATAAGATACACTGAGATACCGTTGAGATTACCGCACAATACCGCATGCTATCGTCTAGTGGCGGACTTTGCTCTCCTTGGGCGGGTCATAAGCGAGCTTCCTCGACTTGAGCCAAGCCCACTTGTACCGCTTCACCCAGACGCTGATAGCCCACAGGGTGGTCGTAACAACGAGAACCTTCATGCCCATCTTCTTGCGGTCGTCCATCTCGGGCTCGGCCGCCCAGTTCAGGAACTCGGTCACGTCCTTGGCCATCTGCGAAGTCGAAGCAGGGGTGCCATCCTCGTACTCGACCAGGTCGTCGAACAGAACACGGGCCATGGCAATGCCAGTGCCGGGGAAGTAGGGGTTGAAGTTCATGCCGGGAGCAACCTGGGCACCTGCGGGGGGCTCGTCCGGGTAGCCGGTGAGCAGGTTGAAGACGTAGTCGCAGCCACCGTGGCGGGCCTTGACAATCAAGCTCAGATCGGGGGGGTAAGCTCCCTGGTTAGCCGCACGGGCTGCCTCTTCGTTGGGGTAAGGAGAAGGCAGGTAGTCGGACAGTTTACCAGGGCGCATCTCGATGTCACCTTGGTCGTTCGGCTCATCGGGGTATTCGTTTTCCTCGGCAAGAGCTTTGGCCTCATCGACGGTCAAGATGGTGCCAACAAGGGCTCGGTAAGGAACACGGGCGAGGGAGTGGCAGGAGGCGCAGACTTCACGGTAAACCTGGAAACCACGGCGGAGGCTAGGTTGCATGCCAAGTTAGTGAGGGAAAACACGTTGGCTTTATGGTAGAGTGGGAACTTACGCCTGGTGGTCGAAGGTGCGGAACCATTGTTGATGAACCCAAGGGTAATTGGTAGGGTGCAGACTGTGATAGACGTCAGCTTGCCTTTCTTTTTCTTTCCCCCTTTTTGGGGGGGTTTTAAATGAAAATGAGGCAAAGAACGGCGCCTGGGATCGAGTCGGTTCGATGTGGCTCAAGCCCAGCAGCAATAATAGCCGCTCTCGCCTTCCAACCCGTAATTAGAGCATATCAATCGTACTCACCCTTCCTCGGCAGGTGTCGAAGCGTGAGCCGTGGGCCCATAGAGATGGTAGTACCAGGCAATGGATCCGGCAGCGACGGCGGTCGAGGTGATGGCGGCGAGGTTCAGCCGTGCAGGAGTGGCTTCGGCACCGCTGGAAGAAGAGGCCGCACGCTGTCCATATTCTGTCAGTAACCAAACTCGGGTTCATGGGACTGATATCAAGCCAATTGATGTGTATTGATCGGTCCCTGGTGCGGTGCGTGATTGCCTCGGGAAAAGAGAAATCGTGATCAGGTCATACCTTAGCGAAGGTGACGGGACCATTTTTGAAGGCGCGCGTTGCGCGCAAGGAGGACCTGGCCAGCATGTCGGGTAAGCTCTATCCTCAGCCGTAGAATCAACCGCAGTCGGTTCGGAGACGCAATGGATGGTTGGTCCTCTCGTGACGGGCGTCGAAAAATCTACCCATTCAATTTGGACTCGAAAATCACTGGAGAAGAGATGAGGCAGATTCCGAAATGGCCCGACGCTCATTGGCCACCAAGGCTCACGACTCGAGTCACGTGATTCTGCTCTACGGACCAGGCACACCTCGGTCAACCGGGTCGATTTACGAAGGCCGGGATTCAGAGTATGCATCTTTGCTCCCAACAGTTCAAACAGGAAGACACTCTCCCAGCTGTCTCTAACTCAAGTAACGTTATGCAGCCCATATGCGCCTAGTTTCC